GATAGTTTATTCAGAGATACCATGGCTAATGCTATCACCTATGAGAGGATCTATGATGCTCTTACTTCTAACCATGAGCTCACTCTACCCATGTTCGACGACTTCAAGAAGGTCGCCACTGGTCTCTCCAAGCCCTTCTACAATCAGGAGTTGGCTGACAAGGTTGACGATCAAGTTGGATCTCGTTTCGATGCGAAGATCTTGAAGACTTTGTTGAAACTCAGTGCTCATCTGCAGATGACTAACTTCTTCAAGGCTGGTACAGCTTCTGCCATTGCAATGAGGTTTGATGGTGAGGTCCTGGCCGATCGTCCGAGGACTCTCTTCCCCAGGATCCCTTATGCTGTTTATCTGGTCGTTGGCAGAAGCTTCTACGGCTTCCACATCCGATTCACTGAGATCGCTCGTGGTGGTATCAGGCTCATTCTGTCCAGGAACAGACAGGTGTACAAGAAGAACTGCGCTACTTTGTTGGAGGAAAACTACAACTTGGCCTTCACTCAGCAGTTAAAGAACAAGGATATTCCTGAGGGCGGCTCGAAGGGTACCATCCTCATGGATATGGACTCTCAGAACTTGAAGACAAGCGGTCGTGATGCTTTCAATAGCTATGTTGATGCTCTTCTCGATTGCATCCTTGCCAAGGAGACCGGCCTCTACTCCAACCTTTCCAAGCCTGAGATGCTCTTCTTTGGCCCCGATGAGAATACTGCTGGATTCATGAAATTGGGTGCTTTGAGAGCCAAGGCTCGTGGTTACAAATACTGGAAGTCTCTAACTACCGGTAAATCTGCCGTCCTCGGTGGTATTCCCCATGACAAGTACGCCATGACCACCAACTCTATCCATCCATACGTTGTCGAGCTCTTGACTAAGCTGGGTGTTGAGGAGTCTAATCTCACCAAAGTGATGTCCGGTGGTCCCGATGGTGATCTTGGTTCTAACGAAATTCTCATCTCTAAAGACAAGACAATTGCCATCTGTGATGGTACCGGTGTTGCTTATGACCCTCAAGGATTGAATAGAGAGGAGCTCACTCGTCTGGCTCATCTCAGAGTTGGTGTTGCCAACTTTTCTCGTGATAAACTGTCATCTGATCCGAAGGCATTCTTGGTCACCATTGATGATAAGGATGTAACTCTTCCTAATGGAGATCACTTCAAGTCCGGGGTTGAGGTGCGAAATCATTTCCCAGAGATGGAGTACTTCTCTGCTGATCTCTTCATCCCTTGTGGTGGTCGTCCCGGTACTATTAACATTGGTAATGTTGATAAGACCATGTTCAATCCTGAGACTAAGGAGCTCAAGTTCAAGTATGTTGTGGAGGGTGCCAACTTATTCTTGACCGATGATGCTCGTCGATATCTTGAGGATGCTGGTGTCCAGCTATTCAAGGATGCTTCCACCAACAAGGGCGGTGTTACTTCTAGCAGTATGGAGGTGTTCGCTGCTCTTTGCATGGATACGGCTGATCATGACGAGTTCCTCTGCGCTCGTGATGAGACAAGTGCTCCTCCTGAGTTCTACGAACAGTACGTACAGGAGATCCTTGCCGCTGTTCGTCATAATGCCAAGATGGAGTTCAATGGCATCTGGAAGACTAACCACGAGGTGAAGTATCCTGATGGATCAAGGTATATTCGTAAGACTGATGCCACCATCTTATTGTCTAAGAAGATCAACGACATGCAGTCTTACATCCTTGGCGTCCTCGAGGAACACGACCCTGAGAATGACTGGATGGTTCGTGCTGTTCTCAGACGTTGTGTGCCCAGATTGCTTCTTGTTCATTGTGGTTTGGATAAGATAGTCGAGAACACCCCCGAGGCTTATCTCAATGCTATGGTTGCTACTTGGATTGCTGACGAGTTTGTCTACTCTAACGGTTTGAAGACCAGCGAGTTCGCCTTCTTCCAGTTCATGCGCTCACTAGAGGAGAAGTCCGAAGGTGAGGTTACCCCTTCTACTATGTGATTAACCAAAGTCTCCATATACTAGCTGCATAGGGCATCCTACATGAGTAGTTGCCGAATGTTAATAGCACTCTACTATTACACCTTACTTTTCCCATATATCTGAGTGGGAATACTCATGTTTTTAATCCTGAGCTCGTTTGTATAGTCTGTTAAAGTTCAGCTCTCCGATTTTGCTATGAATCCCAGATTGTTGCGTTCTGGCAGGGATAAGCTTCTGGGTTATGGTTGTATTTTCTCAGTTCGTTGTTCTCATCGTATCATCAAAATGACTGATCCTGATTTCAAGCCTATGCATGTGACTGTCGGTCGTGTACATTGCCTTGGTAACAATGGTCTCGGTCGTTTCTGGATCCTACCTGGATCGCGTGACCGTGCTAAGCATATAGCCGAGAACTATTTCCGAGATGTAGAAGTGATTCCCTCTCCTCGTGGTCATGATGGTTACATTGGCAAGTACGATGCTCCTGACGGAACTGTTGTTGACATTGGTGTTATCTCTACCGGTATGGGTGCTCCAAGTGTTGACATCATCGCCACTGAGATGATCAAGCTTGGTGCCAAGGTACTCGTCAGAGTTGGTACCGCTGGTGCCATGCAGAAGACTCTCGGAATCGGTGATATCGTTATCGCTACTGGTGCCATTCGTGATGAGGGTACGACAAGGCACTACATGCCTCTCGAGTTCCCTGCTCTTGGATCGGCTGCTGTTGTCACTGCTATGTCCAGCGCTGCGCAGTTGGAGCTGGAGGACGAAGATGAACATACTGAGGGTGGTGCCCAGTGGATTTACGATGCTGGTCCGGTCCATACTAAGGATTCCCTCATGGCTAGGGAGTTCAAGTTTGGTCCCTATGGTCCTGAGCACAAACGCTACATGGAAGTCTTGGAGAAACTGGGGTGTTTGGCCTCTGAGATGGAAGTAGCGATGCTCTTCACTTTAGGGCAAGTGTATGGTGTCAAGACTGGTTGTGTTCTCGCTCTTATCGGTGGTGGTAGTGATCCCATCTCTGATAAAGCCAACCTCAAGAGTGAGGCTGTTGCTCGTTCATGCAGGATTGTATGTCGAGGTATGGCTCAATTGAAGAAGAACATGGATAGGTTCGCCAGTAAGGCGTCGTTGCTAGGTCGAACTGATGAGTGAGTCTGTGACGTTAACGGTACCGAGAGATCTTGGTGCCTTATCCTGTGGCGTCTCATAACAATTCTATCCATGGTGTTGTTTCCAAGTTTATCGTAATGACAGTAATATTTACGTGGTTGGTATGTATCCACGAGTACGATTTGCTGCTGTCCTAGTTTAATCTTGGCAACATGAGTAACCTTGAAATCCTATTGTCGGGGGATTGATTACTCATAGTTTGTTACAGGAGTGTTTATGCTCGTTGTTTTCTCCAACTTGGCGATGTTGTGTTGTGAGGTTTCGGGTATGAAATCCCGTTCAACTTAATGAACGTAGTGAAATACTCGATGAAAATTTCTACATGCACATGTGAGTGGTCGGTGAAATGGAATACTTTAGATGAAGGTTTCTAACTGGATACGCGAATGTTCGGTGAAATAAGATACGTGAGGGGAGGTTTCTGACTTCATGGGTGAATAAATGGTGCAGCTGTCTTGCCTTGCTCACCTGTTTATTCACGAACTCAGCTATTTTCATGGTCTGGCTTAATAAGACCCTGTGAACACTTTCGAATCACTGTAGTCTGGGGTAAAGAAGAGTTGTAGTCGACTATCTATCAGAGACGAGTCATTTCATCAGATATTTCACTGTCGAGATGTTTGATGCCACGACCGTGTGTTACAATACTTGACAGGCATTTTTCACAGCGAACACTTTTGCTCAGCCTCACGGGCTGTAGAATCATATACAGCGTTAAGGGCTAAAGCTAAGCGAGGAAATCGCTAGTCGATGATCACTGTGGGGAGGAAGATCATTCGTTACAAATTGAGTTGTGCTTTACGTAATCAGCACTCAGATTGTCTGAGCTTACATATTCTCGACTGAGTTTTCTGCAGTTTCTATTTTTATAAAATCATTAATATGGATTCACCAACTACAAGTGTAGTTTCTTCATTTCTTGAGGCTGCCTATGAGGGCGATATCAACCGCATGAAGGATCTGTTGTCTAGCAACTCTGATCTGTCTGTTAATGTTCAAGACTATGATAAGAGGACTCCTCTTCATTTGGCTGCTGCTGGTGGTCATATGGCGGCTATCATCTACTTGTTAGGTGAAGGAGCTCAGCTGAAGACTGATCGTTTCGGCATGCTTCCTATCCATGATGCCGTGGTGAACCAGCACAACGACATCAAGGAAGTGCTCAGTCAGCTCGACCTCAAGTGTGACGGTGGTGTGTGTTATCTCTCCCCTGAGAATGAGGAAGCTTTGAAGGAGCAGGTGAAGAACACTAACATCTCTCTGACCCCTGAGGATTTGGAAACTAAGATGACTCAGGTCTTCTCTATCATCATCAAGGAAGGTGTACTCGCTGCCGGCTCTCTTTGGCAAGAGATTGTTTACTACTTTGCTGAGCTCGGCCTTCACCCCAGCTACTTCAAGCACTTCACCAGTGCTCAGATTGCCAGACACCTTCATTGCCTTATCGCTGCTAAGAAGGTTGCTCAGGCTACTGAGTCTGACTATATCCATTTCGAGATTGAGGATGCGGATTCGGCTTTCTATCTCACCACTATGGAGCCTGAGAAGGTCGCCATCACTGATGCCAAGGTTGCCGAGTACATCAACACTGCTCAGGATTGTGGCTTCTCGGTCACCTTCCTCAAGTCTGAGAAGCCTCCCATGCCTGAAGGAAAGTTCCCTCTTGGCGTCTTTGTTGTTGATAAACAACAGTTTGACTCCAGTGTCAAGTTCGAGGAAATGATGGATGAGACCGATCTCCATCTTGTGGCTACCCCTCGATTCCTTCAGGAGAGATCTGTTGAAGTACAGAAGCTTTACCAGACTCTCATTGATGAGACCATGGCTACTCGAAACACTGTTGTTAAGGTGTTCGATGCTCCTACTAACTTGGCTCAGAAGTCCGGCGCCCAAGTGTTGCAGCTTGCTGCCTTCGATGTGGATCGTAAGGGAAGTGCTTACATCTCTGAGATCAACGAATGCTTCCGTTCCCATAATGTCGAGCCTAAGAGGTTCTATGTAGATTCCTTCGCCAACGGTGTTGTCACCTACACCTGTTTCTTCGACCCTACTTTCCAGGGTGAGGCTTTGGAGAAGCTCGCGCAGACTCTCCGTTATGTGAGCCACTTCAAGCATAACTCGAGGAAGTCCGCATTGGTGTGGGAACTTGTACTCAACAATATGATCACGCCCGAGCATGCTATCTTCCTTATTACTGCTGCCAAGTTCATCTTCTCTTTCTTCCCCAAGGAGACTGAGGAGTATCTTGCTTTGGCTGATTATTTCAAGAGTGATCCGTCCAAGAAGAGTGAGTTGGATAGTTTATTCAGAGATACCATGGCTAATGCTATCACCTATGAGAGGATCTATGATGCTCTTACTTCTAACCATGAGCTCACTCTACCCATGTTCGACGACTTCAAGAAGGTCGCCACTGGTCTCTCCAAGCCCTTCTACAATCAGAAGTTGGCTGACAAGGTTGACGATCAAGTTGGATCTCGTTTTGATGCGAAGATCTTGAAGACTTTGTTGAAACTCAGTGCTCATCTGCAGATGACTAACTTCTTCAAGGCTGGTACAGCTTCTGCCATTGCAATGAGGTTTGATGGTGAGGTCCTGGCCGATCGTCCGAGGACTCTCTTCCCCAGGATCCCTTATGCTGTTTATCTGGTCGTTGGCAGAAGCTTCTACGGCTTCCACATCCGATTCACTGAGATCGCTCGTGGTGGTATCAGGCTCATTCTATCCAGGAACAGACAGGTGTACAAGAAGAACTGCGCTACTTTGTTGGAGGAAAACTACAACTTGGCCTTCACTCAGCAGTTAAAGAACAAGGATATTCCTGAGGGCGGCTCGAAGGGTACCATCCTCATGGATATGGACTCTCAGAACTTGAAGACAAGCGGTCGTGATGCTTTCAATAGCTATGTTGATGCTCTTCTCGATTGCATCCTTGCCAAGGAGACCGGCCTCTACTCCAACCTTTCCAAGCCTGAAATGCTCTTCTTCGGCCCCGATGAGAATACTGCTGGATTCATGAAATTGGGTGCTTTGAGAGCCAAGGCTCGTGGTTACAAATACTGGAAGTCTCTAACTACCGGTAAATCTGCCGTCCTTGGTGGTATTCCCCATGACAAGTACGCCATGACCACCAACTCTATCCATCCATACGTTGTCGAGCTCTTGACTAAGCTGGGTGTT